CGCTCTAAATCACCATTTGATAAATCAGTGATTTACTAAAAAAAAAAACAGCAATTCACAGGCAAACCCTCCAGATGAATCTATAGGTATAGTATACACATAACCTCTTACTCTGAAGTTAGCAGCTTATTCCAAATGATGGTAGGTTCCAAGGTACCATCTAATGACCCTAAAGAATTTTCCCTACTGAAAGATATATATCTTTGTGTGTGTACATATGTGTATGTGTGCAAACATGTATTCTACTATTTAAAAAACTTTGTTTTTAAGTCACACAGGCTTATAAATCAACACAATGAGTGAACTTAAAATATGACATACTATTAAAATCCAGACACAGACAAAAGTAGAACGGAAGCCTAACTCATACCAGAAAGTATCAAAACAGATACCCGGGTAAGTAGCTAGCTAGTTAGACAGTCTCAAAGCAGTAACTTTAATTAGTATTGAGAAATTACAATGCTAGTGGTATATGAATACCTCTAAGTGAGACTCAGTAGGTGTCTCTTGTTTTTTTGTATCGTAACATGGTTTCACTTTAAGGACTCATCTTTTCCCAGTTTATTATTTTCATGGAAAAGATTTTCTCTGTCCTATCATAAACAAACAAACCAACAAACAAAAAATGCAACCATTCTTGCAATTTCTGATGCCCACTTTTTTTTGTTAGGGGAGACAATAAAATGGAGGGTTTTTTTGTTTTTGTATTTTGAAACAACAGACACATTTCTGAAGAAATGGAGGGAAATTGAAAAGGCAGAGTGAAACATCAATCAGTCATAAGTCAGTCTCTTCCCTGGAAGTGTAACGGAGTATTAACAAGTGCAAATGGGCAGTAAAGATATTTTATTCAGAAGACAGCACCTCCAGCACAAGAAGAGCCACATTGCACTGTGTCAAACTTCCATCACCTCCTTCCCACCACTACCTTCCAGGAAACCTGTAATCTAAACAAGTACCATGCCCACACCTCCAGAGGAGTCACACTGTTCTTCCTGGGACAACAGCCCAAGTTCTCTTCCTTTTACAACCCAGAAGCAAAATTATCTTTGAGGCATTCACAAAGGAAAATGATAATGATCATATGACCTGAGTTATCTTGAAGTCTGTGGTTTTGGACGGAGGGTGTTATAAGAAGACATAATTACTGAATGATTCTCAGAAAGTATGTTTAACCCTAATGGAGTCTGGGTTTAGTCAACAGAATCCAGTGTAAGGCTTTTTCCTCAGGTTTATGTAACCCAAAAAGTATAAATCATACAAAGAATAAAAAGCATTACTCCAAGCTACCTCTTCTCTTTCTTTTCTTTCCATTCACCTTTGTAAGCACTTGAAAATTGAACTGCTTCTAAGCTGAAAGTGACAGATTTTGTGTAGCATTTCAGAATCAAGATAAAAATATATTGTTGAAAAAAATCATATTATTGAAACTCGTACTCTGTGCCAAGGCTGTAAACCACAGGGGGCAACTGGCTCTTGATGTGGACATTAGAACTGGAGCATACCACACTTACAAAAACAACCTGTGGTTCCCTAATATTTAGAATAAAGAACTCCTGAAACACAACAAGAACAACAACAAGAACAACAACAACAACAAACAAACAATCTCCTTAAAAAACGGACAAGAGAATTGAACAGACACTTCTCCAAAGATATGCAAAAGTCCAACAGGCACATAAAAAGGTGCTCAACATCACTAATTGTCAGGGAGGGACAAACAAAAACGAGACATCCTCTTACACCCACCAGGACGGCTGCTATGAAACAACAACAAAACAATAACAAGTATTGGCGAGGATGTGGTGGAGTTGGAACTTTGAGGCAGTGTTGGTGAGAATGTAAAATGGTGCGGCTGCGATGGAAAAGACTTTGGCAGTTCCTCAAAAAATTAAAAGTAGAATTCCCATACGATCCAGAAATTCCACTTCTGGGTATACACTCAAAAGAATAAAGCAGGATCTCAAAGAGATATTCATACACCCATGTTCACAGCAGCACTATTCACAATATCCAAAGGTAGAAGTAACTCAAATGCTATCCATAGATAAATGGACAAAGAAAATGTGATATCTACATATAATGGAATATTATTCAGCCTTAAAAAGGAAGGAAATTCTGACACATGCTCCAGTATGGGTGTACCCTGAGGACATTATACTAAGTGAAATAAAGCAGTCAGTTACAAGAAGACAAATACTCTGCAGGGGTGGGCAAAAGTAGGTTTACAGTTGTTCATATGGAAAATAATAATAAATAATAACACAAGAAAGGCCTCTGTTTTGCACACGCACAACTGTAAACTTACTTTCGCCCACCCCCTAGGATTCCACTAATATGAGGTACTTGGAGTAGTCAAACTCATAACTAGAAAGTAGAACGTGGTTGCCAGGGGCTGGAGGAGGGGAAAGGGAGAGTTGTTGAATGCCTATAGAGTTTCCAATGAAAAAGTTCTGGAAATTGGTTGTACAACAATGTGAACATATTTAACACTACTGAGCTACACACTTAATGGTTAAGATAGTGAATTTTGTTATGTGTACTGAAAAAACAAACTGTGACTCCCAGCACTTCCCAATATGATGGTGCTGACAACAATAACTCCTCACACAGGCCCAGGAATGTCTCTCTGAGAAGCCCAGAGTGCTGGGCCTCCAGACTTGCTGATGTCAATGCAAAAAGATGACCCAGGATGAATCTGATTGAAAGGTTGCTCTCATCAGAGGTGTGTTTTCTTTTTCCCTACTAGCATGGACGTTTTGTGTATCTCACCATATCATCTCTCTGAAATCAGGCCACCTAAACACTGGTGGATGCCGACTCTGGGGTTCTGGGGAAGAGAGGCCTGCCTCTTTGCAAAGTCAGCCCCCTTCTTTCTTCTTATTTAGAGAATTCAGTAACATAAAATTCACCATTTTTCCTCCAGCGAAAAGGTGACCATCATATTTCTAAACAGTAATTCCTATCTAAAAATTACACACAAAATTAATACTCCAGTTGCTCTCCACCATCCAACGTGCTCCACCACTGTCTGCCATTCCCCGTCTTCCTTCCTCCCCACTAGAACCACTTCCAGGTTTGGAAATCAGATGCTTTGTATAACAGTGACACTCTGTGAACCCCTTTTCTTGTATCTCAGACATAAACAGAGGGGAGAGAAGGGGGTGAGAAATGGACCGGAGAGAATGGATGCTCCCAGAAGAAATGCAAACAGCTTTTGGAAAGATGCATTTCCAAAAAAAGTCAGGTCCATCTGGAACGTATTTTAACAAAATAAATGCCCTTTTCTACTATGAGCAGCAGATTAGCAAAACACAAAAGTCCCTGAACAACAAAGCTCTATGACCAATGAAGAAAGCAAAACAAAACTGAAAGAGCAGCTCCTTCTAGGGATGACCAGCCTTTCTGGTGCTCAGGGGAGTTCCTGGTGCCATGTGCTACAGACCTGCCCACCACAGCTCCCCTGTGCGTTTCCTCCAGGCATTTATTTGTACAAAAGGCTCCACGTACCAAAAAATTCCAATCTTCCCTCTGCTTCTCTATCCCTGATGGGGAGGAACGTGGGCTGCTCCTGTCCAAGCCAGTGTGGTGTCTCTGAAACCACTTGGGCTGAGATCCCCAACTTAGAATCCTCCCTTATTCTGTCAGTTTCCTCTCCCTTTTCTTACACAACATGGTATAACAAATGAAAAATGTGGCAATCTGAGGACAAAGTAAACAATGATTTTTCTCTTTCATCACTGTCCTGGTTATCTTGCATGACTGGGGTATAAACAACACGTGAGTCCACTCACCCCTCACCCCTCTGTCATTTGTTTTTCAGTACAGACACTGAAACGTTCTGGAATGAAGAGATCAAACAAGAAGATACCAACGTTGGTCTCTTCTCTTCATTCCTCTCCTTGCTTCTATTAACACATTCACAAAACCAGAGAAGAAACCTACTATGTTTTCAAAAATGCCCGGGACATCTGGCTAATGTGTTCTAGCCCTTCATAACAGTCCAAGAGTGTAGTAACTTCCTTTTTCTAACTCAAATATAAAACATTTTCCTTCTTCATACAGGTCTGAAAGCAGTAGGTCTTTGTGTAGGGACCTTTTATCGACTTGAAGTTTATTAAACTATCCCCTGTGGTCACAGGGTGAATTCTTTTGGGACCCTCAGCTGTCTCTGGGCTCTAATTTCCAACCCTTTAACGGTGTCTCTGGCTCTTCTCTAGATTCTTCAACTCCTCCTCTGCATCAGAAGCACAGGCTGAAGACACAGAGCTCTAGTGGCAGATAGACCTCATGGCTTCTTCAGCCCCGCACAGCGACAGCCCCTGGCTGTGCTCCTTCTCAAACTCCAGGGCACTTCCTCATCTCACATCCAAGCTGCCCCCTACCACTTCTTCTCTACTCCTGTTTTTATGTTAGTAAAAGAAGGAAAGAAAAAAAAGGAAGAAAGAGGGCAGAAAAAAATAGAAAAGGGAACTTAAGAATTTATAGAGATAGGAGAAAATTATTTTAACAGGAAGTACAAGCCAAAAGATTTGTTTTACCAATTGAAAAGTACATAAAAACAACAAACCTTTGCAGACAGCCTTGCAACATGTTTTTACACACAATATTCCTGTGTTTCCTACTGCCCTTTGAGCATCTGCCTGCAAACACAGGCTAACTTGTCCCATTTCAGATTTACGCTAATAGGCAAAACATGAGGAGAGGCTTAGCTGAATTCCAAGAAATAAGTTATTTAATGCACATCTGAAGGTTTGTGCTTTAAAGGCAAAGACGTTCCACACAGGGAAGCAAGAGATTCTAATTTCATTTTCACAATGGCTGGATGGGTGTCCCTCTAACAATGCGTGGTTACGAGATCTGCCCCAGCTCTTCCATTCAGAGCCAGAGCAACGACCTCACATCACAACAATAGTTAAAGACCGTTGAAGGAAAGAGAACCAGCTGGGTATTTTAGAGTAGCTATGAAAGATTTTTCAGGGGGCGGAAAAAGCACTAACCTGAGTTGTTTTAATCCGCTGAAAACGACCAAGTTCTCAAGTTCCCCTGCTATCTTCTGCCCAGTTTCCTGTAAGTGTTGCATGTGACATTACACTTCCTCACTGCACCTTCTTTGACTCGCCTCTCTCCGCGGTCAGAGCCATGTGATAAAAACCCCTCACTGCCTGTTTCACACTGGGGTAAGCCGAGTCTTAAGAAATAGTTGTGCATGGGGGGAAAGGTGATTTAGGCATCCCTCAGGCACAGGTAAAGGAGCTAAGCCTAGGAGGGAGGCAAGGGAGAGGAATGTCAGGACTCCTGGCACTTCTGACTCCACACGGAGGGAGGGAGGGAGAGGGAGAGGGGAGAGGGGGGAGGGGAGGGGAGGGGAGGGAGGGGGAGGGAGGGGAGGGAGGGAGAGGGGGGAGAGAGAGAGAGATGGGGGGGGAGAGAGAGAGAGAGAGAGAGAGAGAGAGGAGGAGACGGACACTCTTAAGCCCCGGGGGTCCCCCTTCTTGGGGTTGGGGAGGCAGCTGAGAAGGGTCGGACCCTCTCAGCGCAGCTGGGTGGTCTGCCATCTTGAGGCCAGCCCGGGTGCTGCGGCACTGCCCTCAGACCGCTGCGAAGGGCAGCCTTGGCACTGCGCCCAGGATGTCCCCAGGCTGCACTCTGGAGGGCGCCACCACCAAGGAGCACACCCAAGGGACAGCTCACATTTCTGGATCCTGCAGCGACACCCCGAATTCCCTGGGACGGTCTCAAGTTCACATCCAGTCTATTCAGTCCTGCTGTCAGACGCTGTGCCCTAATTCTTGGTTGGCAAAGTCACAACACTCGCTGCCTCCCAGGGCTAAATCACTAGCAGGCATTTCCCTTCTGCTGGTCTCCCAAACATGCCAGGCTTCTGGTTCCCCCTCAAGGGGCAGACATCATCTTCCTGTGGGATGGTGGTGGGTTCCCGGTGGCACGTGAGCCCTGGCGGTGGGGGACCCTGATGGGGGCGGGGGCTGATACTGGCCTGGCAAGAGCACCAGGGGCAGTGCCTGGATGTGCCCCTCGGAGTCCCCAACCAAGGGGAGACTGCAGAAGGGCTGAGGCAGGACCAAGCAAGAAGCACAGGGTGCCCTTTCTAGCTTTCTTGTTTCTGTGGTCAGTGCCTTCCTCTTCCTTGTAAAATTCCTCTAACTCTCTGGAAGTGGTGGATGTAGGAAGCGGTATGTGGGAGTAAAATGATGCCCTGAACCCAGGGTAATATTCTACAATTTGTACAACTTGACCCAGTGCAGAAACCCCAAAGTTGTTTCTATTTGGCTGCCCCGGCATAATTTTTTTTCCAATGCTTTTAAAGAGATTTTTAATTTATTTTTTAGAAAGGTAACTGTAGACAAGTCCACTCTTCCAAGTCTTAAAAATATCACGCTATAATTCCCCAGTGAAGTTTTCCATGTGAGAACACCAAGTAAGAAAATGAGTCCTGAGAGTCAGAACTTTGGACAACAGTAAAACTCTACAGTCTCACCACATGATTGTATGTCTGGCTTTGAAAACTTGTATAACTATTTTACCGTTCTGACAACTGATGGCTGGTTTTCTGATTGAACTGTACAGTTAGATTAGCCAGTAGAGTCAAGATGGATATACGCATGGCCTTAGCTTTAAATTCGGAGTAATGGGGAAAACTTGCCGTCTTACAAAAACAAAATACTACATAGATGATAAATAATAATGACTCCATTTGAAGGTACTTAGAAGTGTCACATTCTGGGTTAAGCTGCCAGTTCCATTTTTCAGCTAAGCAGTTACATATGTTCTACTTTAAGCTATGCTCTGTGTGGAATTTTTAAAGGGTTTAACAAAATGCTTTATAATTTTCCTTTGAAATTCCTAACCTGGCATCCTGTTCATGAGGTTTTTCTTTTTTTCCTGTTTAGGCATTTAAAAAATTTTAACAGACTTTTTTTATCCTCACCAGAGGACTTTTTTTTTCCATTGTTTTTAGAGAGAGAGGAAGGGAAAGAGGAAGAGAGAGAGGGAAACCTCACTGCTAGAGAGAAACATCAACTGGTTACCTCCTGTATGCACCCAGGCTGGGGATTGAACCCATAACTTTTTTTTTTAAGATTTTATTTATTTATTTATTTTTAGAGAGGGAAGGTAGGGAGAGAGAGAGAAACATCAACGTGCAGTTGCTGGGGGTCATAGCCTGCAACCCAGGCATATACCCTGACTGGGAATCAAACCTGCAACACTTTGGTTCGCAGCCCGCGCTCAATCCACTGAGCTATGCCAGCCAGGGTCAAACCCATAACTTTTTGGTTACAGGACAATGCTCCAACCAACTGAGCCACACGGGCCAGGGCTAGACTTTTTAAAGAACGGTTGTAGATTTACAGAAAAATTGAGAAGATAATACAGAGTTCCCACCTTTTATGCACAGTCTCCTCAGTATTAAAATCTTACCTTTAGAATGATATATGAGTAACACTTCATAAACCGATATTGATACACTATTATGAACTAAAGCCCATAGTTTATTTCAATTTTTCTTAGTCTTTCCCTAATGTCTTTTTTCTGTTCTAGGCCTCCATACAGGACAACCCATTACATTTAGTCATCATGTCTCCTTAGGTTCCTTTTGATTGTGATGGTTTCTTAGACGTTTCTGGTTTTGATCACCTTGACAGTCGAGAACTGGTCAGGCATTTTGTAGGATGTCCCATGATTGGGATTTGTCTTCTGATGTTTTTCTTGTAAGACTGGAGTTATCAGTTACTTAGAGTAAAATCACAGAGGAAAAGTGCCATTTTAATCACATCATATATAATATATACACATCCAACTAATTTACTCCTGCTGATGTTGGCCTTGCTTACCTGAGGTGGCCTGTGTCGGGTTTCTCCTTTATAAAGCTGTCGCCCACCACTTCCCATACTGTATGGTTGGAAAGGAAAACCTGAGGGTGGAGTACCTATGTGAAGTATTTGGAATTCTTCTGCATGGAGGATTTGTCTCTTTTACCTCCTTATTAATTTGCTCTATCTTTTATTTATATCAGTGTGGCTTCATAGATATTTATTTTATATTTTGGGTTATATTTCAATGCTATTTTTTGCTCAAATTTTTCCACCTTTGGCCATTGGGAGCTCTCTCAGTTGGTTCCTGTGCTCCTTTGACATACCTCTTTTTTGCTTTGCTTTTGAGTACTTTCTTATTTTCTAGCGCTACAAGATGCTGTAGGCTCATTATGTATAGTACCTTCCCAACTGTCCACATTTTTTCTGTCTCCGCAAGAGAATAAAATAAAATAAATCTATGGGTCTGAGAATTTTTTTCTTTGCCTTTAATTTTCATTAGTTCTGCCAAGTGTATTACTAAAAAAATTTTTTTATTGCTTTCATAAAATTAGTGCTAGCCTCTACCAGTAAGAGAACACCAAAATACCAACTGAGTGAAATCCTGCATTTCCTTAATTCCAAGATACAGGTTTTTGTTGGTGGTTGGGTATTTTCTTCATAGTTTAACATTCCTGGAATCAAAGCGTACATTTAAAGTCATGCCCCTGCCCCCGACTTATCTGTCATTAGGTAATGGTACACCTTACAGCTGATGGTGTAATAGAGCAGTCAATTGGTGCTTTTTTAGAGCAGGGACATCAACTAACTACTTCCACTGATTTTTCCCCCACTGAACACATATTTTGACTAAAGTGGTTTGATATGTAGCATCCACAGACATTAAAACTCGTGGTTTTTACCTACTTCCAGACATATTCTACCTTTACCACAAACCACAAATTCTCATGTCCTAAATATAGATAAAAAAGGGGGCGTTAAATTCTTTTCAATTTTTTTTGTGTTTACTATCTGACTCCTCTTATGTTACCTTTTCAAGAGCTCATGAATCCATCAACATGTCTGAGGAGCCTAATGCTGACATTGAAGGGTTGCAAGAATGATGTTTCACTCATGTTAATGAGGAACAAAAGCGTTTACAGATCAGGAAGGACACCTTGATTCTGTCTCTCCTATTTCTAGAGGTCAGCTGACTGCGGAATGGCAGAACTGGCCATTCCTTTCTCTGTGGCCAGGATCTTCTCTCTACCTCATGAACCACCACTGCTTTGGAAGCATCATGTTTTATAGAAGCCTTCTTTTAAGAGAGTCTTGTTCAGCCATTCACCATGGGTGTATTTCACAGTCACTGGCGTGATGCCCAACAATTTCATCCAGTTAAGCAGAACTTGGTCACTCTAAACACTGGTTTCTGTCTCACTCCTGTGTAAAATAAACTAAGCTTCTGATAGCACCCTAATCATCTCAACAACCTCCAGAAGAGACTGGAAGGAGATGCTGCGTTGATTTTCCTAGGGAACCATTGACCAAGCCCTTACTGCGTGTTAAGTACGGAGCTACATGCTTACATACATACTTTCATTTAATTCTCACTGTAATCCTGTGAGGTAGGTACTGTGATCCCCACTGTACAGAAAAGGTAACCAAGTTAGAGACGCTAAATAATTTATCCAGGACTCCTTGAAAAGTTTAAAGCCCACATGAGAGCTCTGCTCTGCCCGACACCAGAGTCTCAGGGCCTAATGCTGCTCTCCGTGGTCGATAGGTTTAGCATCCATATCTCCTGATCAGGCCCTTTATTGAATGTAGTCCTGTTCTCTAATTACTTTCCGCACATGCTTTTCACCTAAACCAAAAATAAGTGGCAATTATAGGCACGGATAGTTTCTCTCATCCCATTAACTCAGCTTCCCAACCTCATTCCAGCAGCTTTCTCATAAAAAAATCTGTAATTTTTTCAAATAAAGGTAAATAATTTACCTTTACTATTTCCCTCCCCCATGTTGTTTAATTTTTTCATTTATTAGTTGCTTAAGTTACAAATTTATTTTACTGTCAGTCTTTTAAAATAAAAGCCTTAAGTTTTTATCTAAGTATACTTTAGGTCTGTCCCACACATCTCAATGCATTGTATGCTCATTGTCAATTATTAAATAGTCTTTCAGTAATGATTTCCTGTTTGATCCAAGAATTATTTTAAAGGGTCATATCTTAGTTTCCAAGTGCTGGGATGGAGGCGGGTAGGAGCTATCCCCTGTTAATTTGCAATGCTATGATATTGTCATGTGTGGCCAATATGTCTACTTTTTAGTTAATTGTGAGGTTTCTCTGTGATCTAGTATT